TATGAGACTTATCTTCTTTAAAAATTTTTGATAAGTATATATTTTGAATTATTGATTTTATATATTTAGAATTGTGTTTTCGTAAAGCTTTCTAACTTTCATCTTTATATGTGGAGAATATCCTAAATAATACTTAAAAAATCTGGTTGTCTGGTTTTAATGTAATCTCATCAGGTCTATTGTTTTGTGTCTATGGGTTGTATCTTTTTTCCATCCCTCTATTTCCAACCTTTTAATATTCTTATGAGCATGTAAATATTTAGCTGGATTTGTTCTTCAAGTCTGATGATATTAGTCTTTTAACTTATGCATTAAGTTCATTTACAATTTGCTTAACTGCTGTTATATTTGAAATTATTTATGCTAACTTTAGTCTGTGTTTTTCCCTCCTTTCCTCTCTGCCTTTGTAAATGATTGAGTTTTTAAATATTTTCATTTCTCTTTTCACTAGTGTAGAGATAATACATCCTATCTTTTTGCATGTGGTTCCTCCCCACTCCCATTTTATTTTGGCACTTAGCTGAATACCAGCCATCTTGTTTCATGTATAGAGAGGGCTTCTCAACAAGATTGTATAGAATAGGGACTGGAAAATTTGTTCGATCTATGCTTTAGCTGGAGTCCATTTATTGTTTTCTAATATTTAGCTTTCTTGAAATTTTTGCTTTGCTTCTGATCTTCATTATACTTCCATCTTTAGTTATAGAACTTTTGGGATCTCTCCCTTATGCCTGTGGATATCTTGGCCTTTTTTTGTTGTTGTTGTGTTAATTGTGCTTTTGCTCGAAGGTAACAGTAAATAAAGTAGCCAGAGAAGTAAAAGATTGAGGGGAGGTGGATTCCAGTGTCTCAGGGGTGAAAGGAGACAGGAATAGCTTCTTGTTTTGCTTTCTCGCTTCTGTCGTAGGCTCATTGTAGATCTGACAACAGTTGGCTTTGTGTTGTTCCCTGTTCTGTCTCATCTCTTTTCACCAGCCTCTCCATTTATCCAGTACTCATGCTAAGCAGTGCTCAAGCCGTCCCTTTCCCATGGATTTGGGGAAAGTTTTTTAAATCTGGGATGCTTCTCTTATAAACTTTGTGATGCAGCCAGTCTCTCTATCCAGGCCAGCAACAGATAGTTCTGTTCATCGTAGCATCAAATCTATCAACAGTGATCTCTTATCTGGTGGGTTGTTGCGGGAGGACTGTATTGCACCAATTGTTTTTTTTTCTTTTCTTCACGCGCTTACATGAAGCTTGTTTGATTTGTGGTTGCTGCCAGGAATGGAGTCGGGCAGCTGCTCTGAGCTAGTGCAGGAAGAGTCAGAGGGCCAGACTCACGGTATCTTTTATATTCTCCCATCTGTGGTTTCCATTAATTGAGGGGGTGCCACACAGGACTCTTCATTTAGCCCTCCAGGATCTGAAATCAAAGTTTTCCAAAGTAATGATTCTTCTTATTAGTTGCACCTTGTTCCTGCATTTCTTAGTAGAGGGAGTGGATCTCCTAGGGCAAATATCTCTGAGTTAAATGAAAAGATCACATTGTCAAGGCATGGGAAAGGGTCATTTTTTCCTTACAGAAGCCTATTTAGACCACGCATTTGTGAGCTAGGTAGATTAAGTATGTAGTTAAGCTCCCTGGCATCAGAGAGCATTGGAATCCTGGTACTATCCCTTATTAGCTCTGTGATTTTGGGCCAGTTTCTTCATCTCTTAGCCCTCTCCCAATTCATTTGTAAAATGGGCATAAAAATCATGAGGAGTAAATAAGATTTTTTTTTTTTTTGGTAAAGTATCAGGCATAGTAAGTACTCAAAGTTAGTTAATATGAGCATTATTGGCCCACAAGACCACTTACTTTTTTCAAGAGTTTGTGAACCAGAATTGTCTTCCTTTAAGTTGTGCTAGGACTCTATAAAGCCAAAAGAAATAAAGAACACCTTCTAGCACCTGGAACAGTCTCCCACCTGCTTCAATCCCATTACAATATCTGAGGGATTCTGGGGCCCCCCACTCTGTTTCCAGAGAGCCCGTGGTTCTGAGCCCTGTGATTTCCTAGCTTTATGAAAATGCTGTCCTTTTGTTTGTGTTATGCTCAGGAAGCTGAGGGTTGGAATGATTAATCGCCTCCTCATTTTGTGTTCTGGGACCTCATGTGCCATTATTTTTGTATATTCATTTAGTTGCTCAACTCTTCCGTGATTTCATGGCCTTTTTTATCTAGTCTGAGTCCCTTCATAATCACATGAAGCATGATTGGCACTATCTCGCCCAGTCTCAACCTTCTACTCCTTTTCTTCTACTATCATATGAGTTCTTTCAATGACAATGCTAGTGTCAGTTTGGATCTTGAAATTCTCCATTCCTCTCAGGTTCTGGGTTTCTGGATAAAGTGCCACTCACTCACTTACTCAATCAGTCAAAAAATAGTTTGATGGCAGTTACTAGGTGTGAGACGGTAGTGATACAAAGGAGATCACAGTCTGCCAGCTGATAATTACAGCACAAATAGCAAAGTGCCACAGTGGAGAGTTGTAAGTGCTGTGGGATGGTAGAAGATTCTCTCAAGTCTGTCCCGGGAAGTCAGCGACAACTTCATGCGATCTGAGAGCCCAAGGACAGTTTATACTCCGTCACTGGACGAATTAAGGTAAGGCTTTCTGGGGAGAAAAGTAGCAACATATACATAAAGGGTAAGAGAAAAGATGGCTATTTGGGGAGCTACAAGTCTTTCAGTATTGCTGAAGCATAAAGTTAAGGGGAAAAGGGCAGGAATGGTGGAAGATGAGGCTAGATGGGAGCCAGTTTAGGAAGGGCTTGTGTGTTATAAAGTGTGAAGTTTGTCCTATGGGTCAGTGAGTTTTTTTAATTGTAGTAAAAAATGCAATTAAAAACTTACCATCTTAACCATTTTTAAGTGTACAGTACAGTAGCGTTAACTATATGCACATGGTTGTGCAACAATCTCTAGAAATTTTTCATCTTGCAAAATTGAAATTTATTGAACAACTAACTACTCCGCATTTTCTCCTGCTTTAGCTACTTCATATAAGTTGAATTATGCAGTATTTGTATTTTTGCGACTGGCTTATTTCACTTACCATAATGTCCTCAAGTTTCATTCATGTTATAGTATATGACAGGATATCCTTTTTTTTAGGGCTAAATTATATTTTATTGTATGTATGTATCACATTTTCTTTATCCATTCGTTTCTCAATGAACATTTAAGTTCCTTCCCTCTTTCTTTTTTTTTTGGTTTGTTTTTTTTATTTAACTTGTGAAATAGATCACTTATATAGGAAGAGCTTATATGGAACAGATTCTAATTTACCTGTGACCCAGGTTAAGAAATAGAACACAGCTACACACAGAAGCTCCAAGAAGCTCCATGTGCTTCCTGATTACATCCCTCTCCCCCTAGTAGAGGTAACCACTAACCTGACTTCTGTAATACCCATTCCTGTATTTGTCTGCATCTGTTTTGTTTCCAAATTTGAATAAGAGTAAATGTATTTTTACTGCCTGTAGATGTACCTCTGGACAATATAATTTAGTCTATTTTTGAATTTTACATAAATGGGATATGTGAATTCTTTCGTAAATTGCATATTTTACTTAAAATTATGTTTGTGGGATTTATTCATTTGTATAACTGAGGTAGTTATCTCTATTATATGAATATACCATAATTTATCCATTTTACAGAAGGTGGACATTTGTTTTTCTTTTTTAGTTTTTGATTATTACAGATAATGTCAGTAAAAGCATTCATTTTCCCCTTATTTCATATTTTTAATTTTTTTAAAAAATAATTTTTAATTTTCCAGTTAAAGTTGATATACAATATTATGTTAGTTTTAGGTGTACAGCATAACGATTAGGCATTTATATAACTTATGAAGCTATCACTCCAAGAAGTCTAATACTCATCTGACACCACACACAGTTATTACAATATTATTGGCTATATTCTGTATGCTGTACTTTACATCCTCAGGATGGTTGTTGTAACTGGTAATTTGCAGATCTTAATCCCTTGCCCTTTTCATCCATCCCCCAACTTCCCTTTCATTTGGCAACCATCAAAATGTTTCTATATTAGTTTGTTTCTGTTTTTTTTTCTTCTTTAGATTCTGCATATATATGTTGCTTACAAGAGACTCACTTCAGATCAAAACACACGCAGACTGAAAATAGAAGGATGGAAAAAGATACGTCATGCCAATGGGAACGGAAAAAGCTGGGGTAGTAATACTTAAATCAGACAAAATAGACTTTTAAACAAAAGTTATAATAACAAGAGACAAAGAAGGACCCAGCAATCCTACTTCTGGATATTTATCTGAAGAAACCCAAAATATTAATTTGAAAAGACATATGGATCCCTATGTTTATTGCAACATTATTTACAAAAGCCAAGATATGGAAGCAGTCTAGGTGTCCACTGATAGATGAATGGATAAAGAAGATGTGGTACATACATACAATGGAATATTACTCAGCCATAAAAAGAATGAAACCTTGCTATTTGCAACAATATAGATGGACCTAGAGGGTATTATGCTATGTGAAATAAGTCAGACAGAGGAAGACAAATATGATACGATTTCACTTATATGTGGACTCTAAGAAAGGAAAAGCATTCTTGAGCATGTAACCTCGTGCACATTTGCATGAACTTCTTTAAGATCTGTAACTAATGGTACAATTATTAGTGAAAGCATATGCATACCTTCAACTTTAATAAGATATGCTCAACTATTTCCAGCCAAATTGTACCAATTTAGGCTCTCACCAGGATCTTACAAGACTTCTCTTTGCTCCATATTTGCACAAACGTGATGTTTTCAGACATTTTTTTTTAAATAAAAATTAAGTTTATTGGGGTAACGTTGGTTAATACAATTATATAATTTTCAGGTGTACATTATAATTTGATATCTGTATATTCTATTGTGTTTACCACCCAAAGTCCAGTTTCTTTCAGCTACCATATATTTGATTCCCTTTATCCACTCCACCCTCCCCCTACTCTCCTATATTTGACCCCCTTTACTGTGTCTACGTCCCCCCTCCTTCCCCATCCCCTTCCCTCTAGTAACCACTAGTCTATAGTCCATGTCCATGAGTCTCTGTTCATTTGTTGCTTTTAGGTTTATATCCTACATATAAGTGATATCATGTGATTTTCAACTTTTTTCGTTTAGCATGATTATCTCGAGGTCTATCCATGTTGTTATAAATGGCAGTATTTCATCTCTTCTTATGGCTGAGTAATATTCCATTGTGTATATGTACCACAGCTTCTTTAGCCAGTCATCTGTTGTAGGACACTTGGGTTGCTTCCATGTCCTGGCCACTGTGAATAATGCTGCTATGAACATCGGTGTGCACTATTAAAAGAAATCGAAGAAGATACAAAGAAATGGAAAGATATTCTGTGTTCTTGGATTGGAAGAATCAACATGGTGAAAATGACCATATTACCTAAAGCATTATACAGATTTAATGCAATCTCTATCAAAATCCTATCAGCATATTTTAAAGAAATAGAACAAAAAATCATCAGATTTGTATGGAAACACAAAAGACCCTGAATTGCCAAAGCCATCCTGAGAAAAAAGAACGAGGCTGGGGGCATCACTTTGCTTGACTTCAAATTATACTACAAAGTGACAGTAATCAAAATGGCATGGTATTGGCAGCAAAACAGACACACGGACCAGTGGAACAGAATCGAGAGTCCAGACATTTTTAAAGTAAACTTTTTGTTGAAGAATGACAGAAACATACCAAAATATACAGATCTTGTATTGGAAGTCCTAGCTAGAGCAATTAGGCAAGACAAAGAAGTTAAAGGCATCCAAATCAGAGATGTATTTGCAGATGATAGGCACTTATATATAGAAAACCGTTAAGATTCAACCAAAAAACTGTTAGAGCCAATCAACAAATTCAGTAAAATTGTAGGATGTAAAAATCAACATGCAGAAATTTCTGCACACTAACAACAAAATATCTGAAAAAGAAAGAAAACTATTCAGTCACAAGAGCATCAAAAACAATAAAATACTCAGGAATAAATTTAACAGGTAATTGAAATATAGTTACAATGAAAACTACAAGACTTAAATGAAAGAAACTGAAAAAGACACAAACAAATGGAAAGTTCTTTCATACTCATGGATTGGAAGTTTTAATATTATTAAAATGGCCATGTACTCAAAGCCATCTATAGATTCAGTGCAATCTCAATCAAAATTCCAATGGCATTTTTCATAGAAATAGAACAAAGAATCCTAGGGATTCTTGTAGGGAACCACGAAAGAACCCAAATAGCCAAAGACATTCTGAGAGAGAACAAAGTTAGAGGCACCACAATTTCTGCTTTAAAACTATAGTACAAAGCTATAGTAATGGAAACTGTATGGTACTGGCACGAACATTGCCTGTCACCAGCACCCGAGAAGCTCCTTTGTGCCCCTCCCAGTCACTACCTTTCTTTTCCCTAAAGGTACCCTCTATCCTAAGTTCTGTCACCTTCGATTAATGTTATCTATTTGTTTTAAAACTTTATATAAATAAAATCAATCAGTATGCATGTACTCTTTTGTGTCTGGCTTCTTCTAATCAAGTTATGTTTTTAAAATCTCTTCCATGTAGCCGTGTGGAATGGTGTTCCTTCATTCTTATTTATGATTAGTGTTCCATTGTGATTATTCTACAATTTCTGTATCCATTCTACTGGATATTGGCATTTGTGTTATTTCCATTGATTTTGCTGTTATGACTAGATCTGCTAAGAACTTTTGTATTCATACCTTTGGTACACGTATGTTTGCATTTCTGTTGAATATACGTATATCTAAAAATGGCGTTGTTGTGCTCAATATGAGCAGATGTTGAGATAAACATTTCTTCCCAACGTGATCGTACCACTTCCACCAGTAGCGTATGAAAATTTTGGTATTATTGGTATACCTTGTCACAGCTTGCTATTGTGAGAACTTCAGTTTAGCCACTCCCATGTCTGTGTAGTTGTATATTATTGCAGTTGTTAATTTGCATTTCCCTGAACTAATTCTGTTGAAAAATGATTTACATGGTTGTTAGCCATTTTAATATCCTGGTTTGCAAAGGGTATGTTTAAGATTTGTTCATTTACAAAATTACATTGCCTGTGTTTATCTTAATGGTTTGTAGAAGTTCTTTATAAATTCTGCATATGAGTCTTTTGTCAAATACATGCATTGCAAATGTTTTCTCTCACTTTGTGGTTTGTCTTCTCACCCTCTTGTCTTTTGATGAACAAACATTCTTAAGTTTAAGACTTTTTTATGGTTAGTGGTTTTTGTGCCTTAAGAAAATTCTTGTATACCTGAAGGTCATGAAGATAGTGTTCTATATTAGCTTCTGTAGTTTTCTTCAAAGAAGGTTCTAAATTGCAGATTCAATCTCTTTACAGATATTGGGCTACTCATTTTCAAATTTTCTTGTGTCAGTTTTGATGAGTTATTTTTTTTTAAGAATTAATTTTTCAGAACAAACTAATCAAAACAGACAAATATAGTGGACAATTTGGTGACGGACAGAGGGGAGGGGGTTTGGGAGCTGGAAGAATTGGGCGAAAGGTTAAAGAAGTATAAATTAGTAGTTGATAGTTGGTCGTGGGGTTGGGGAGCACGGCATAGAGAATGCAATTAGCATTAATATGATGGCTAGGTGGAGAGCCAAGAGAGGGAGGGAGCAATTGGGGGGATTGTTTTATGATCTATATAAATGTTTAACCAAGTACTGTATATTTGAAACTAATTTATAAATAAATTAAAAAATTAATTTTTCTAATCTAGAATTTAAAGTTAATTATCAAAAGATTTTTATAATATAATAGACAATTTTTTCTATGTTTGAAATATGTGCAATGATGTTCCCTTTTCCATCGTTGATTTTGGTAATTTTTTTCTTAATATTTTTAAGGGTTGTCAAAGTATAAGATGCCTAGTTTAATTGGAATTTCAGATAAAAAATGAATAATTTTAAAGCATAAATAGGTCCAGATATTGCATGGTACATACTTATACTAAAAAATTTAATCTGAACTTAAAATTTAACTGAGAATCCTGTATTTTTATTTACCAAACCTGGCAACCCTATTAGTCTTCCTATAGGTTTATATGCTTTATTAGTCTTTTCAGTTAGCTAACTTTTTGCTTTGTTGTTGTATTTGTTTTCTATTTCAACAGACTTTGCTTTTGCCTTCATTATTTTGATCTTTCTACTTTTTTTGGTTAAAATAGTGTACTATTTTTTACATTTTAGGTAGAGATCATGAGATCATGTTGACTTTTCAACTTTTCCTCTTTTCTAAAATGAAATTTGTAAATGTAAATTTCCCTCTAGGTACAGCTTTATCTGTTTGGCTTTGAGATGATATGCTTTCATTATTAATGTCAAAATTTTTCTAAATTTTTATTGACTTTTGTCTTTAACCTAAGTATTATTTAAAATTTGTTTCTAAAACATTGGTTAGTTTTTAGTTATCTTTTTTTATTTCTAATTTATCCATTGTGGTCAGAGCAATACCTTGCATTAATCCAGTGCTTTAAAATGTGTTGCAACTTGTTCTTTGGCTTTGCAAATATTCAATACTGATCAATGTTCCACTTGCACTTGAATAGAATGTAGATTCTGCATGTTTGGCTGTAATGTTTTATATAGTATTAACTATCTCTTCCATTCTCGATCTAGGTGATAGCTCCTGGAATATACAACTACTCTTCACTATAGAGAATGGGCAGTTATATCCCCCAATTAAATCATTTCCCCTCCAGTGTAGTCATGTGCCATCCTAGTAAGTCACCCTGGTGACAGGTGAGTGGGCTCATCATTGCCCTTTGGGAGAAGCTTTCATTTCCATCTTTTCAGTGAACTGTTTTCAACAATAGAGCTGGGGTTTAGCAAATTCCTGGGTAGGACTGAGGCAAAGATGGATCATAGAGATAGTCTGGCTGCGGTTCTCTGGAAGTGATGAAGGTGTTTGAAGCACTGCATATTCACTGGGAGGAAATCCTGGGCTCTCAGAAGAGATGAATAGAACTTTTGGGGACTTTGGCATGAGCCAGAAGTGGTGTTCCCTACTTTGGTTGAATTCTGGGTGGTCAAAGAGCCTGAATATCACCCCAAATTGCCTTGCATTTATGATTAGCACCCATCTACTTCCTAAAAATATCATCACCTGACCCAATCCTTTCCTGTTTATTCTCTTACTGTTTGAGAGCCTGAGCACTTTTTCGTATACA